TTAGTTTCTCTTCTTTTGTTATTTTCTTTTTCGAATAGTGTACAATAGTTAGAAAATTTTCGGTTTATATGAAAAATATATAGGTATTGCTAGATACAAATAAATGATTGGATTCAGTRAGTATTTTTATATTAGAAATAAAGTAAAAAATGGAATTGTAACAGTTACGCTACACAGTTTTGTGCCCAAATGTGAAACGATTTTCAGGTAAATTTTTCATACTGCCCCCAAATTATTACACTCGTCGTACACTAATTTATAACTAAGCCACAGTTACTAACATTGTTTGCAAATAAATAAATAATAATTGGTGGGTGCTGGAAAAATGAAATTAATTTATAGATCATAATTTTAATTATTATTAGACTATTTATATAGTTACATCAATAATGCATTCGAGTACTTGGTAGTTGGTTATATATAAGTTTTTTATAATCATATGTTTAGAAACAAAAGAAAATAGATCTTGAGATTTTAGAGTTCAGGAAAAAATATCAAGCCCCTGAAACACGAAGGGAGTACGACATATACGACCCACTACAATGTAGAAAAACTCAGCAAAATCGCATTGGTGACGATGACCCAAGAATTACATTATCATCAGTTCAACGGTACATAACATATATTAAATATATATAAAGATACAAAAAAAGTTGATATTTTAGTATTTAGGACAACAATTTTTATTTTTAAGATTTGAAGGCGAAGAGGGCATGGCGAAAGAACAAAAAGCTGAACAAATAAAACAGCAGCGTGTGTGGTTAGAAATGCAAATACGTGAAAAAAATAAGACTCGAGAAGAGAATAAAAACGTCGAACGTACGTGGCAAGAAACCGAACACTCGACAGTTCAGCGAGCATTAGCACTTGCATCGCTGGAAAATGAGTGTAGAAAAAAATTGATAGAAGCAAATTACCGATACAACCAAGCTCTAGTAAGTGTTGTTTAAGTTCAACGACGAATTACTCATCTTTAAAACAAGACAAATTCATAAAATATGTTGAGTTACGATCGCTTTCGAATAGTAAAAAAAAAAAATGGCTTTCTATCTCTATAGGTATGTAGACCTCTACATTCAATACCTATCATTATTCATTTTTCATTCAGCCACTAAAAATATGTGTCAGTATTGAACTGTATCATTTTTAGCTTATTTCCATAGCAAGGGAGCCATATATACTTTATGACAGTACCTTAAACCTATAATTTAATTTATCAAATTAATAACTGAAGTCAATATTCAAGCTGCTATATCTCAATTTTTGGCGTTTTTGTGACATAAATAAAAATTAATTAACTCGTGATAATATCGAATGTTGGAATGCGAAACAACAATGTATTTTGAGTGTTGTGGGGGTATTGCATTTTATAATGCCTGATATTGCAACTGCAATATGAAATATGCTTGACTTGCATCATTTATATGTTATAGATACAAATGTTTTATTTTCACAACACAAAATATATCACTCTGTCTTGCTTTTAGGTACTTAAAAAAATTTTAAAATACCAAAATTCTAACTTATTGGGTTTATGAATGTATTAATTCATAAATCATAGTATTTGAAAAATATGTTTGCATGTATTTGAGTTTTTAGTTCATGTGTAGAAAACTCTTTAATATAATGTTTTAGATTTAAACTTCAAATAGGGTTTCCTCAAAAATGATACATTTTGAGTTGTCTCAGTTTTYTTCCAGAAKTCTGRCAAGGCAAAAACTGACTTATYGACAGACAAAATAATACGAAACAATTACATTTTGTTCAAATTTAGGCGTCTGAGCAAAAAATGAATAAAAGTATTATGTTAGCCGAAAGCAACGAAGACAAAATGGCAGAAGTGTACAACGCGATCACAGGAGACTTTTTAACGGAAAATCCCGAACTCGGATTTAACAGTGCTTTAGGGCCAGGAAAAATATCAACGTCGAACTACAAAGGATTAACGCCGGCCATGAAACAAGCAATWTACGACGAACAAGCTAATCAAAGAGCAGAACTTAAGGTCTACAGCTTTGTACAATATCAAGAATAGATTAAAATCACTAATAATCAACATAATATTATTGATTTTATAATAATAGTTGCTTAATAACTCGGCTTCATCCGTATGCAGTTTTTTTTGGCGGAAAATCCTAAATAGTATACAATATGAATAATAAAGTTCATACAAAATTTTTCGAACACATGACCTTGCATATCATTGGGTTTTTCCACTGCATAAAAACATAATATTACACCTATTTTTACGCATGTGCAACAAAACACATTTTTTTAGAAACGCACTCATCACCTCTTTTTTACTTTCGAATTTGAATGACATTAATTTTTTTTTAAACAATTATGACTCATCATTTTTTTATATTTTAATAATTGACTTACTCTGAGTGAGACAAAGTTTAATAAGTTTAACTATGSATGTTGTAATTATCATATTTTTAACAGTTCATCTATTTTAGAAGCGAAAAGACGCATACAAAAAACAAGAAAAAAATTGGGCAGAACTTATAAATAATCAGGCCAGATTCAGCGTACTCAGTGATCGAGAAATGCAAAAGAAAAAGAGGTAAATAATAATATACTGTTTCGAGAATATTTATTTTTTATGTTAAAATGTAAAGATATGGTTTATCCATACCTACATCTATTATAATCTAAAACTCGGTATTATCTAAAAATTAATTATATATATAATATATTCACAGAATATTATATAATAATCATCTTTAACATATTATTCAAACCATAGGTATATATTATATTTAACTGTGCATTATTATTTATTTAMMTACCTACATCTTGTTTGTAGACAGGGGTTAAAGTGGGGGGGACGCAGGAGGACTCAGTCCTATTACCTCTGACGGCGGTTAAAAAGCGTCCCCTTTAACAAATTAGGATTTTATACATTAGACATTATACCTAAAATTATATATGGAACGCTTAAAACTTTGTAGAGACATTAGTCCCCTCTGGAATTTTTCCCCACTTTAACCTCTGCCTTCACATACTTTTTCCGCATATTTGAATACTTCATGTATTTTTTAATTCATGGTCTTGAGTTCTTGACTCCTCATTACCACATCTTCTAATATATTTCAGAAAAATAYWGTTTAACTAACTTAAAGTTGTTATTATTTATTTCATTACTTATACCTAATGGTTTACAGATTTTGWTGATGATTTTATTGATTAAATTATCTAAAACACCATTGTAGAACATTTGATTGGACGCTTTAAATTATAAATTATATATTCTATTGTGTGTATATATATATTTTTTAGAAACTTGGAAGATGGACTAAAAGATTTCAACTTAGTTCTAGCTAACGAACAGAAAAATAAACAAGAGTTTTTGAATAAAATKATGTACAAAACTAAAGCTTCAGATGAATTTTTTGATCAGTTTAATAAAACCACTCGTTAATGTATTTTCTTATATMAATTGGAAAATTTTTCTTTAAGTAATTCACTGTATCTGTAAATATTTTTAAAGCTATGTTTA